TGGAACATTGCAGATGCAATACCTAAAACCTGGAATACAACAAATCACCTCAAAAGTTTTCTCCCGATCTTTCAGAAAAGGTCGCTTAGAAAGCAGTGAAATCTTTCTTCCAACATATTTGTGGTTCATTTTCTCTTCCGGCGATCCATGATCATTTAACCTTCAAACATCTCGCAGAGGAAAAATTTATGAGGGTCAGGTTATGATAACATGGGAGCAATTATCTTTACGCGCTAGCATTCATCACACCAAGACCGTAGAACGCGTAAATGCGTAACAAACGTTGTGTTTCTGATAATTTTGGTTTTCTGCGATATAAATTTGTATACTCGATATCCGAAGTTGGGGTAGGTGTGTCACCGGAAGTGACGTGCACTTGATAGAAGTTGCGTGGATAAGCTGCTTCCAGCATACATCGCTGGATATCAGCAAAGCATGCTGGCAACAGCTTATCCACGCAACTTCTATCAAGTGCACGTCACTTCCGGTGACACACCTACCCCAACTTTCGGATATCGACTGTATGTCTAGAAAGGGGTCGTCACAGCGATCCGTGATTTCCTTGAGTGTGGGTGAGGGGACAACTTTCGATATGTAACTGTGCGATTCCTTTTCCTTACTTATCATTGATAGAAATTGGATACAGCTATTAATCTTTTAGGAATGAATTTTAACATTGTTAGTTTGCTACTCAACAATATTTCTATTATTTATATTCGGTATTATGTTGACATCGTTGAATTAATGTTGCTCAATTGATTAGCGCAGTTTATTTCTGAATGAATGATTCTGCTTTTTTTGAATATTTTATCCACAGGCATCTCATGAAATGGTGCCTTCACATGAAGATAACGCCGAACCCCACAGTCCAAACTTGCTGACTAGCGAATCCAATGAAGAATCATATCTATCAGCTACTAACAGTAAGTGAATGAAAAGAATGCTGTATTCATTCTTCCTTCTGGAAAAAGGATATTCCAGGTTTTGAAAGCGATGCGATTGTCACTCAGAACGATGATCAGTGCAATGACTATCCTGATGATTGCAAAAGAAAATGACGAAATTGCGAGCATGCAGCCTCCGGACAACAATTTCAGTGCCTTCGATTGCTGTGAGCGCGCCAATTTTGAGAGCAAAAAATGATAACCCAACGTTTACAGTTGCACTAGCTGTATTACCCGTTTTTGAATGATATTATCTTCAGATGGAGCATTATGGAAGCAAAGGAGACGTAATACGAATTACCAGTGAGCATAGCAATGACGTTGTCGTCTATGTCCACGATGGTCGCCTTGTTGTAGTTTGTGAAAGGGGACAAGGAGCTGATGAAAATCGCAGGTACCGAGTCATATCTGAAGCAGTTGTTCAAAAAGTTCTGGAACTGTATCGATAGCCTTATAGGTGATGAGGAAGTGTCACAAATTGCACGCTGCCAACTATATGTCAAAGAGTTTGGTTAAAGAACGTGTGCACAGGACTATCAAGAGGCCTCCTCCTTAACTGGGCACAACTCTTTATTAAATCCAGTTGTAATGAAAGAGCTGGGAAGTTCAAAAAATCCGTTAGGGTGTGAACGCGACAGACATCTCATTCTTGAGTGTCGTCCTGACCTTTAGCGCTGTTTTGTGGAGTGATAGTAACTTACTCCTGCTCCACCGGGAATGAGTGACGAGTGCAATGTAGACGGGGTTCTCCGGTACAGAACTTCGAAGCTTGCTCGGGAATTTTGTCGACTGCGAGTCATCACGTCCAACAAATATCAAACCTGAAACTGGTGGATAGTTCTGGTGACCCTTATCATAAGGTCATTGTTGAGCCTCTTAGATCCGAGCGGTGTGAACTTCTACCAGTGGGGAGATTACTCCTACATGTCATACCACCAAAAACTGACGATAATTGCCATACCATCCGAAGTTACCGGCTCTCCTTGGTCGAGCTTGGACCGCACATCGACACCAACCTGAACAAGTTGAAGGTCAGCCTGGGCCGAGGGTTAATGCGGACACGTCATCTTACGTCGACAAAGACTCTCTCTGCCTCCTAGAAAGCGGATCAATGCGTCATGAAGCGACACTTGCCGGATTCACACGCCTACGCCAGTTCCAGCATATTAGTAACCGGGCCGAGTGAAAGTTTTTATTATTGGCAGAAATTTTCGGATCCCAACGGTTTCTGTTCCAATTGAGTAGTTATGATTGAGTCGAGATACACGCATTTGAAGTTCAGGTGAAAACGACAATTTTATGAGGGGTCCAATAGATTGAGCCCCAAGCGGACGGCTTGTTCTTCCAATTTGGTAGTATGAAGTTGTAATGCAAGGCCGCTAGGTCCTAACTTTGTTCACACGATTCTGCGCGAGAGATTCTCGGCGTCGGATCTAGAAAGTAAACAAGAACGGGACGGGAACTCATGCGATTTTTATTCAGAAGCAAGTCATGGACGGTGTCTGGGTCTCGCTCGTCCCTATGCAGTCCCGTTCCTCAGTCGTTTGTTCCCCTCTCCCGGTGGCCGGTGCTTTTTCATAGTAAGCCCAGAGTGAACGACCAAACAGGAACTGCCTTATTCAGTCTTTTTCGGCACTTTTTTGCTCTTCTTTTTTTGTGTCGCACCACTTAGGAGCAAAAATTTTGTTGTTGAACTCAATCGCCGACTTTGAATCTTGGAATAAAGATTCGGTTGTTGGGAAGCTTCTCGCTGGCTTTTTGTCTGGTGTAGTACTTACCACTTTTCGAGTGGATGCGGTGATACCGTGCTAGCGCCATCACGCTTGTGCGTCCACGAAGTATGGATGCTATTTGACCATTTCCGCGATCTCGCACTCAGGATATTCGCTTTGGAACCATGAATATTTTCCTTTTGTGTGACGGTCTCGCAGATATGAAGGTGTTTTTGCTTTTAGTGCTATCACGATGACACGGAAACTTCCTGAAAACGTTGATCTCGATAAGGCATGTTGTCGCCGGACAGAACATGACAGCTCTGATGACTTGGAGATATTCCTCCCTTCATTAACACCGAAATGAAGAAGAATTTAACAATTTAAGATCTCGTAAACGCATTCTTCAGCGATTTCTTTGCACTTAATTATTAATCATAGATGAAGTAATATAACCATAGCTAACCCAACCTAGATCAGCATAGCTGGCATCATTTCCTAACACCCTTGGAGAAGTTTTTCATAATGTTCAAAATTTGATATATTAGGTTGAAGTCATTTTATTAGTCTATGAATTATTTTGTATCTGTTAAGGAAACTTCGTATTGTTTTTGTTATTCTGTTACCTTCTTGCCATTCTTTCCATTTTTGCAGAGTAGATTTTTTTTATATTTTATCAATCGAAATGAAGCAATTGATGGTTTCTCTGTTTGTACTACTTGTGTTGCTATGCAGTACTACCTTCACTCCGGGTAGATGGCTGGAAATAAGTAACAATGGGGTAATTACGGATGTGTGGATAGGAGCAGAGTCGACCGTCACGTTGTGCCGATTTCGAACCTTTTATGACCCTCTACCTAAGTGATCTCCTAATACGACTCCACTACCAAGTCGATGATATCGCTAGGATTGTTGAACAACCGAAACTTCTCCGGAATTACGGCAGGGGAGAAGAGGGGAGGGGGGGGGGGGAAAAGGGGAACAGCCGAGGTTATAGGCGCTTTTGAAAGCTACTGATATCCAAAAATCTACAAGTCTGTCAGCCTACGGTACCTCTCCTTTCACTACCACAACCTCCACTAGTAACCCACCGAAACATTAATCGCTATTACGAATCCCCCCTCCCCTCCTAGGGGAAATTCCATTGTATGGCTGATCATGGAGACTGCCGCAGTACTCATTTCGGTAGTTTTTCCTCTTTGAACAATATTAATGAGAATAATAGTGGTGCGGTGTATGCTTGGTTGATCTAATGTAGGCAGCCGCCTCTATCAATACGGCAATCTAATAGTGTCTACCCGCATGCCTGGGGACTGGGCGCAAATTTCCCCTAGATTAGTAAGTTCACAGATTATGGACAGCAGCGATCACCGTTTCATGCCTGAGCACACAGTGGATAGATGCATTCCTTCTTTATTCTCCTGCCCTCGAATATTTTGATTTGCCTGTACCGTCATGCCATTGTCTTCACCTCAGTTTCCTTGTCAGTAGTGGGCTAGTTCTGCAGGGCATCCAAGAGCGGCAGATTTTATTTACTGCAGTTTTTCCAAAATACCTGGCTCAGGTAGATGAGGTTTAGTGTTCAAAAGAGCGCTGAGAACTAACGAATCATGTTATGCGAATGATGACATAACTCCCGCGGTGTGGTTTCTATCCGGCACTTCCAACACCCTATAGAGCGGGCAGTTTGTGGGACAGATCAGTGCAATCGCAGGCAGACAGGGTCCATAGAAATGCGCTGTTACGGCCCCCTGCAAAATAGTCGGCTATCAGGAATAGAGACTGCGCGACCATGATCCAGTGATAGGCTGAATCTACCACTAGCCAGAGAAACATGAGAAGATGGCCGGATATTTGAAATAAAGGACAGAAATGTTTCAGCAATAAGATGAAAACCGACCTATGTGTGGTATAAACGTGACCAGCGGTTGTCGTAGGACGTTCCTGCTCTCTGGCGCTAACCAAGCCTCCGCAGGGGCGATTGATTGTATCAGAGTCGTTGAGCGAGATAAACTACTCAAACTAGAGTGACTTACAAGGGAAGGATCCCAGGTCGAAGTGGCCATTCGTAATGAAACCTATACTCACATACGTGTTTTCGGACGCTGATTTCAAATCCGTCCTCCAAATTTGCGGAACGATTCTCTGAACAGAGTTACAAAGGTTTCAAATGAATGGCCGTTAGAAGAGACACCCTCAGCCCTACTGCCGGCAGCGGCGGCCTGGCAGAGTGGTAGTGGGTGCGCATGTTGGTGGTGAGACTATGGTTCGGATCCTGGTCATGATGAAGTTTTTGCATTTTGTAATTTTGCTTGTTTTCAAGCTGAAAGACCATTCAGTGTTGAAATTACGCCATGTACAACGCTGTCAAGTGTTTGCAACGTGTTCTGTTGTTGGTATCTTTGCCGTTTATAGATTGGTCTCTGTCACTGACAATGACGTCACTTTCTGTGACGTGGCAGTACCCCATACCCTACCCTGTACAATAATTGATCGAAAACTTCATAAAGAAATTAGGTCGTACTTGAAAGGAGCATGCAAACACGTTGCAAACACTTGAAAGCGTTGTCCATGGCGTAATTTCAACACTGAATGGTCTTTCAGCTTGAAAACAAGCAAAATTACAAAATGCAAAACTTCATCATGACCAGGATCCGAACCATAGTCTCACCACCAACATGCGCCCCCACTACCACTCTGCCAGGCCGCCGCTGCCGGCAGTGGGCTGAGGGTGTCTCTTCTAACAGCCATTTTGAACCCTTTGTAACTCTGTTCAGAGAATCGTTCCGCAAATTTGGAGGACGGAATTTGAAATCAGCGTCCGAAAACACGTATGTGAGTATAGGTTTCATTACGAATGGCCACTTCGACCTGGGATCCTTCCCTTGTTAGATTTGTCTGATGT